GGTTCTTAATCGCCTCATTATATTGCCTCTTAGATCATTGTCTGTTTTTCACTGGTTTTGTTTTACCACTAGTATTATCTTCCCACTCCACCCCCATCTTGTTTACAAATGTGTATTTTTCAACTATACTTGGGGTCAAGTAGACTTGTAAAAACCTAGCCACTTTTTTCTTTTAAACCTTGTCACTTTTCGTAGTGTCTTATGCTTGGAGTCCTGAGTTCTAAAAGAACCTGTGAATGATCTCTTTGGAAACACTATTAAGAGGATATTTGAATTTGAGAAAGTTGATTTTGCCTGTTTTCTTTGGAGAATAAACCCTCAGCTCAGTAATTACACATTCTAAGATATACTCAGCTGTGGTTTTTTAATGTCATAAAGCCTTTTAAACAAAAATGGTTTGGCTGTTCTAAAATCAAACAGCAATAAGGATGGGAATGATTTGCTGAAGATTTTTTACCAAAGTGTTAATGTTTCAACTATAAACTTACCTTATGTGAGAAGCATTATTCCTAGCTTGAAATCCATGTCAAAATTTATTGAGGAGAAAAACTGACGTGGGGATTGAGGGAGTATCCAGAAGACTGATAGGTTAGGTTCATGATTTGGAAGAGCTAAAGGCTGGACTTCCTGTAATTACATTAAGCTGTGTTCCAGGTCCTTGCATGGTATTTCCACCTTGATATAATCAACCAGCATTTATTGAGAATCTAATATGTATTCAGCGCTACTAGGAACGATAGGAGATAGATGAAAGTAACAGACCTGGTCTCCCCCCACCATGACATCCGTGATAGATGACATTCATATAAAAGACACACTCCTAGGGCCTGTGGCATAGATAAGATCAGCTGTCTAACAGCGTATTGGAATTCAAATGAGTGGCAGAGACCTTATCAAAATGGAATCTTGAATATATCCATGTATATCATTCATTCACAGGCTTTGGCACTGTTTTTTATTAGTTAACAGATTACTTCCTGTATGCTGTAATTTACCATGGCACATCAGTTTGTTGCGAAGTGACAGTTGAAAACTTGTCTTGGAGCTTCTGATAATAGGGGAGACAGGATTTACAGGCATAAAATAACTGAATAATTCAGGATAGTAGAAAATATATGGGGATATGCATTATGACTGCTCCTTGAGGGCTTTTATAGTCAAGGAGATCTTTATAGAGAAAATGGCTGCTGAAAAATGGACGGCATCTCATTAACTGTAAGCAACAGGAATAAAATCTCATTGATTTTAAGCAGAAAAGAAATTTATTAAAAAGATGTTGGGACATGTGCATACCCGCTCTTCCCCAGTCCTATTCCCAGGAAACAGATGACCCCGTATCTCAAGGCAGCCAGTATTCCCAGTGGCTTCAAATTTGGTGCCAAGAAACCCAGGCATCTGTGTTGACCTATGAGCACATGTAAAGAGACCTTCCCCACTTTTTAATTTTTTTTAATACACATACTAGCTTTCAGCAACTCTGCACAGGTGGTCACTTCCACGTTGGCCCATCTTGTGACCTCCTCGCCTTGAGCCTACAATTTCACTCCTAGATACATATCAAACCAGCACACATACACGTGTTCACCAATGAGTCCATCTGTAATAGAACCAAACTGGAAACTATCCAAATGTCCATCAGCAGTAGCATAGACAAGTGGTGCAGTATTTACCCACTGACAGAAGGCTATACAGACAGTGAGAAATGACAAACTGCAACCACACACAGCAACATGGATGAATCTCACAGATGTAATATTGAGTGAAAGAAGCCAGCTACAAAAGAGAATAGTGAATGATTTCATTTACATCAAGTTGAAAACCAGGCAAAACTGATCTATACTGTTAGAGTCAGGATGGTGGCTGCCCTTGAAAGGGAATTAGTAACTGGAGGAGGGAACAAGGGGACTTTGGGGAGTTCTTGGAGTGTTCTGTTTCCTGACGTAAGTCGGTTCATTTTGTGAAAATTCTTTGATTTGTATACTTTGTGCATTTTTCCCTTTTACATGTATGCTGTGTACTTTTCTGTATGTATGTTACACATCAATAAAGTTTTACTTTATTAAAGAATGTACATTAGGTACCTCAGAATTACCGGGGCTCTTAACTATATATTGCAAAGCCTAGTTTGATACCCCAAATCTCACTACTGAACTGCACTACCACCGCCAAGCAGTAAACTGTATCCTGCACCCCTGGCCACTGCCGCTAGCTTGCTGCCCTTGTTGCCTGGGAGCCTGATCCTGCTGTAGCTGCTTCCACCTGAGGGTGATAACTCATCCCGGCCTCCATTTCGCTGCCCTGTTCCAAATCTGGAGTGGATGCCCTTATTAGATGGAGCCTAACACAAGTGCCCGTCCTTGCCTCAAGGGAGGCTGGGAAAGCAAATATCCAACATTTTCAACTGTTCTAGCAGATGCTGATATCTGCCAGAAATTGTTAAAAAAAAAAAGGCAGAGTAGGGGGTTCTGTTTTACATTTGGGGGCAGCCAAAAAGAGTGAAATCCCTCCTGAGGCAAACATTTAGGTCATAGAAGAAAGCCAGTTTCAAGCGTAGGAACAAGAGAAGCCTGGGGTAGAGGTTGATGAGAGCTTGGGAATGGGTCCAGTGGAACAAGTTTAACCAGATTAAAGGGTGTGTTCTGGGAGTGTGGCTTGAGAGAAGTTGAAGGAATAGGGTGGGACAAAGATTAAGGATTACTTTGAAAGTCAGGCACAGGAATTTAAATTTAATGTGGGAATTTGGGAGCCAGGAAAAGGTTTTGAACAAGCAAGTGTCCTGAGAGGAAGAGGTATTTGAGGACCATTAACCCGACAGCACCTCTAGGGGCGGCTGAAGGCCTCTGTAGTAAGTTAAGGGTGAGGTGGTGGATTGGGAGTAGAAATAAAAGGCAAAGACTAGGTTTAAGAGGGAATTTGAAGGAACAAAGTCAATAGGACTTCACGAGGAGGATGAAGTAGAAGCTAATTCCCAAAACCTTGTGAGCCCAAGTGGCTGTTCGAGGCCTGCCTGTCCTTCAGAGCTACTGAGGCTGCGGAGGGGACCAGTTTGGAGGAAGTCAAAGAATGAATTTTAGTTTTGGGATTGTCGAATTTGAGGTGATAGGCATTGAGTAAAAGTGGTCTCTGTGCAATCGCAGATGGAGATGGAGGAGTGGAGGAAGCTCCAAAAGGCCTAGCTCTTACAGGGAGAAGGGCTGGGAAGGCTCTAGAACAGAAGGTGCTGGGCCCTCAGGGCGTTTCTCAGGCCTCATTTATAGGCTGGCAGGTAGGCTGTGCTACTTAATGTCCTGGTGACTTTGAACCACAGCCTGTGCCTTCTGCTCCGTGAAGCTGACCCCCCCCACCTCACACTGATACTCTCCCTGTTTTCCACTGTTTTCTTCCTGTTACTCTAGTATCTTTGGAAGGGAAATGATTAATGCCTGCCAGGCTTCTCTCTGTGTTTTCTAATAGTTTTGAATGCTTTGAATGCAAGGAGGATATGTTAAAGCCAAGGCCCTTCGACCAGACCAAGAGGGATGGCATACAGAAAGCAGGCCTCTGGTTGATTAGAAAAAATATAAGCTGCAGATCTCAGCACCGCTCCAGGGTAGCCGGGGACCAGTGATGACAGCTCTATTCTACATGGTACTTAGATGTGGGGTAGAATGGCTGGAAAGCCTACCGAGGCTTCCCAAGGCCCTTTCAAGCCTCGGCCGATACATCCAGGCACTGTCAGTCACCACGAGCTCCGTCTAGCATATGAGACTCAGGCCTGGCGAGGCAGCCGGTTCTCCGGAGCATGACGGCGGCTTTTGTGTACGGCTTGAAAGCTGTTGCTGAGGCATGCCTTCTTGGTATTCCTCTTAGGACTTGATTCTCTGTAGTCTGTAGCATGTCCCTGCTTGTAGGTGACGCTGGAGTGCTCAGATATCATTCAGGGACACACAGCTCTCTTAACAGGAAACAGCTCACCCCTTGGGTGGGGTGTGAGGCAGTGAGAAAATCCTCAGGTGGCTGCTCGTCATTTATGCTGCTCTTGTGTTTGCTGCTGTATCGTATTTTGAGTCCTGGGGCTCTTCCGTGTAATAGGTTATGTCCCTGTGCTTAACCTAGTGTAGAAGATCAGAGTCAAGTTAGCTGAAAAGTCCCAAGACTTTTCTGTCCCTGAAAAGTTTGTCTGCTAAGAGAGAGGGAGCAGGTTGAGAATGTAGGAAGTGACTTTCAGCCCATCTCAAAAGATTAATTAGCCATTCTATCAGTTGGATTTTTAAATGAAACAAAAATGATGTACGTGGCATTTATAAAAATCAACCTTTTGCTTATGGCTCTAATAGCCTTCACAACACTTCCTTTGGTCACATGGTACACACGCTTAGAAAGATTTATCTCACATCTAATTCACGTCAGAATAAAATTGTTTGTCAAGACATCTGAGTGTCATAGGTCATGTAGCTTGTGACAGGATTTAAAGCAACAAGACCACAGAAATAGATCTTTCATATTTTTTGCAGAGAAAATGCCACCAGCTGACTTCAGAGAAGCAGGAGTTTAACACCCCTCCCACAACTTCCCCTTAACCTCATTTACCTTAAAAAATGAAAATCCTAACAAGTAAACTATAATTGCCTAAAACAAAACTAGCAAGGCACAGATGAGTGTGGAAATGATTACTAGGAGGTAGAAGGCAAATGGCACCAGTCCATGCCATTACCTAAACATCCTAGGTTGAGTAACCCTTCCTTTGGGGTGGGGTAGGTGACTTTTATCAACAGGATTCTGATAAAAGATCAAACCAGTCACCAAGGTAGATACCATATGTGTTAAATATACTTTTGTTTCATTTTAGAGCCGGTTGAACTTCAGTAGTAGACAGAGCTTGTTTTTAGTTTATATTGTAGTCCAATTTAAAAATCTTAATCTTTTCATCTTTCTTTACTGAGTTATAGTCGGTTTACAATGCTTTGTCAATTTCTGGCATATAGCACAATTAAAAACCTTAATCTTTTTACTAAATCTAGGAGCTGTCTCATCTTATGCATTGGAACTTAATTTGACCAATTCGGAAAAAGCCACTTGCCTTTATGCAAAATGGCAGATGAATTTCACAATACGCTATGAGACCACAAACAAAACTTTTGTAAGTATTTTTTTTCTCTGAGTTTTATATAGTAGGAATTGAATTCTACTCTTTTTCATCCTTTTCCATACATTTAAACAAATAAGATTTCATATGTTAACTGACTTAACATGTAAATTCTGTGAAGCTATTTTAACATGTACACCTAAAAGTATTCTATTTAGTGTTGGAATGAGTATTTTAATTCATCAGTTCCTTGGAGTTTATTTGTAGTTGGTTAAGGGCATATAATCTGAAGACTGGTGTTTCAGGTCTAACTACTTCTATAATGTTTTAAACATGTACTAACATCAAAGCTTGCCCTTGTTAAAAATAGCTTGCCATTAAAAAATCTCCTTTGAGGGGGCGTGCATAGCTCAGTGGTAGAGCGCATGCTTAGCATGCATGAGGTCCTGGGTTCAATCCTCAGTACCTCCATTAAAAGAAAAATCTCCTTTTTGGGGGGTGTATCTTTCAATCCTTTCACCTGTTTTTCTTTTGGTTGAAGTCCTGCCTGCTTAAAGCCTGATTGAAAAGGAATCAGCTTAACAGAAGTTCAGGCCAGTTTTCCTTTTCCTTTTAGATGTGCATAAATTTGTTCAGAGGGACTGGTGTGTGGTTGAAGAATCTGAGACTGGTCAGCGCAGACAGAGGGCAGCCTGGCAGCGTGTGTGTGCGTGTGTGAGTGAAATAGTCTTGAAGTGGCATCCCCTGTGGAAATGCTTGTGCACATTGCTGCCTGTTTGTGCCTTACCCCCTAACTTCTTTTTCTTTTAGAAAACTGTAACCATTTCAGACCATGGTACTGCCACATATAACGGAAGCTTCTGTGGGGATGACCACAATGGTCCCAAAATCGCTGTGCAGTTTGGATCCGGTTTTTCCTGGACTGTGAATTTTACAAAGGAGCTGTCTGCTTATTCAATTGACAGCATCTTCTTTTCCTACAACACTAATGATAGCACAACATTTCCTGATGCTAAAGAAAAAGGTAACTTTAAGAATTGGATTGTGTTGTGTTCTCTTGTTCTTTATTAATAATAAAAATGTAAATCATTTAAAGACCATCTTTTTTACACATCCATCTTCCTAACTAGAATAGAGATGTCATATCTTTGTATCCTCTTGCACAGCATAGTGTTTGGCACAGTGATGATATTGGCTGTCACTGCCAGGTGCTTTACTCTGTACCAGATGGTACCCTAAGTATGTTGCCAGCAGAATCTCAATCCTTAACAGCAAGTAGATATTATCTCAGTTTTACAGGTAAAGGGAATGAGGCTTGATGAGATTTGATGTCTTTCCCAAAAGTCACACAAGCGAGTAAGTGGGTGAGCTGGTGTTTGAAGCAGTCTGTTGAGCTTGTAGGGTCCATGCACTTAACGATTATTATTTATTATCATTTATTTCATCCAATAGTGGGCACTCAACAAGTATTGAATGAATGAGAAAATCCTTTAGTAATAACTGTTTTAAATGTGTACAAGTTTAGTAGCCTGAGACCAGCAGAAATGCTTCATCTTCATATCTTTTTTACCATTTAGATAGGATTTTGACTGAAAAGTGAAAAAAGGTAAGATGGCTGAAGTAGACATTTGCTGCTATTTTGAAACAGTTTTACATCACAGTGAACTTGGGAAGGCATTGGCAATTATGCCATTCTTTTAACTACTGGAACTGAAATGTGTATTAAAATATTTTGAGATATGGATAATGGAGGTTTCAATTTTGTTAGGGATATAATTCTCTCCTTTCTTCCCGCCCCACTGAGATTGGATTATGAACATGGTGTTTGTAGTAGCTTAGCATTTCTCACAGTTACTATTTCATTCTGACTCCAGACTCACAGGTAGCTGGCCTTTAGTTTCCTGAACTGGGGGATGAGGGACTCATTTGGATTTATGGATATCAAAAGATCATATTTTAAAGACCCAGTAGTGAATGAGCTCATGTAAAATTTGGCAGGTGTCACCGAGACTTGAAAAATCAAATCCTAGATCCTCTTACAAATCCTAGTTTTCCTTTTACTGATCTCTTAGTTTGAGAGGATAGCTAAAACAAGTGTGTTATTGGCTATCTTGTATATTAAGCTTTCTGCCCTATATTTTCTTTCAGAACTAGTGTTAAGATTTGCCCCTGGAGGGAGAAGGTATATCTCTGTGGTAGAGCACATGCTTAGCATGCACAAGTCGTAGGTTCCATCCCCAGTACCTCCATTAAAAATAAATTAATTAATTAGACCTAATTACCTCCCCCTTGCTGCCCCCAAAAAAGAAAAAAAATGCCCTTTTAACTTTCAAGGAGCTTAAAAACTAGTTGGAGAGACAAAGTGAAGATGTTTCCCTGAGCTATATGGAAAAATTGGAAAGCATTAAGATCAATGTGAAGTTGTTGTTTGTGTTTTGGGGGTGGAGGGTTCATAAGTCTTTTCTGACAATGTGAGGAAAGCTCTAGACACCCCCCTCTCAAAATACAGAGTAAACTTTGCATATGGTACATAGCCCCTGAGCCCATCTGTGGATGCCTGTAGACAGGTGGTCCTGATGAGGAACAGAGGTCAGCGTGCATCAGAGGAGTGAGAAAGCTTGGTGTGAGAAGGACCTGAGCTGAAAGTAGACCCAATGGTAGAATTTGAGTAAGCGGAGAATTTTGGGCAGAATATTTCCAGCAGGGGGAAGCATAGTATGTGCAGCAGTAATTGGAGAGCTGCCCAATTAAAACAGAGGCTGTGTGCGTAGTAGAAGGAAGATCAAGCTGGCTAGGTGCAGTGGGTCTAAATTATAGGGGGCCTTGGAAGCCAAGGAAAGGCATTTAGCTTGATGGGATAGGCACTGGGGAACCATTTTAGGTTTTAAAGCAGGAGAATGATATCTCAGGAGCAGACAGTAGTTTATAAAGAATGTTCTGCAGGATTAATTTGTAAGTGAGGAGACTTCAGGCAGAGATGCCAGTGTTAAGAGGCTGTTATAGGAACCCGGGGATGATGTAACGAGTACCTGGACCAAGGGGGGTGGCAGTAAAAGCAGATGAGGTTTAATCTGAATGGTTTGATTGAAAAACTGTGGGCTCTGAAATGGTAACACCTGTATCTCCCTCCTTTTTAACAGGGGAAGATGCAATTTTATTACTAACTTCTCTGTAATATTTGAGATTTAAAATGGTTTCCTTAAATGGACTGTTGACAGGTTTTGAAATAATTTAGTGTTTTATTTTTAGGCATCTGATAATTGAAGTGACTTTGAAGCTGCTGTTTTCTATAAAAAACTTTTTTCATGATTAAATTACAGAAAAGGACAGAATAATATAATAGATCCACACATGTACCCATTACCCAGAACTAATTAATGCCATTTTTCCCATAGTTGCCTCATCTTTTTTGATATCTGTATATATATATATATATTTATTGAATGCCTCATCTTTTTATTTAAAGAAATAGAACCTTACAGATGCCCTCAGTTTCCTTTGTACCCACTCCCCAGAGCCATTTTCCTCCCTGCCTCCTGAGAGGAAATCACTCTTGGGAATTTGGGGCATAGCCTTATATTTGACTATGTATATGTTCATAAACAACACATTGTTTAAAAAATGACATAGCTTTATGTGTAACTCCAGTATGTCTACAACTTGTTTTTGCACTCACTTTAAAAAAATTAATTAATTAATTTTATTTTGTAGGGAGGTAGTTAGGCTTTTTTTTTAATGGAGGTGCTGGGGATTAAACCCAGGACCTTGTGCATGCTAGTCACACACTCTACCCCCTGAGCTATACCCATCCCTTGCATTCATTTGTTTTTGAGATCTGTCTATATTCAGCCAGTTCCTGTATCTATTTACTTATGTTGACAGTGAGAGACAGTATTGGAGAAAAATATTCCAGTTCACTGGTTAGGAAAAAATTGTTTTCCCCTTTGGCCAGTAGGGGGTGCCAAGGCAGCAGAAGTTAGCTGCCTTGCTACATGATGGAAAGGCACAGAAGGCAGCTTATATTAAGGACCTTGAATACCTTCCTTCCTTGCTGTTTCTCCAAAAGGAACTAAAGCCATTTGGGTGGAAAAGTGTGATCTTACCCTTTTGAAGTTTCACTCATGGATTATTATAATAACTCTGTACAGAATGGCGGCAACTTACTGCTTTCACATTCTGACGATTTCCTGAATTGGAATAGTCTTTAAATTCTATCCAGAAAGAGGTTCCAAAAAGTCATTTTAGTTACTGTAAGTTACATTGGGATAGTAGCACAAAAATAAGGATTTACTATAAAATCCTTGAATATTCCATCTCTCTTCCTTGCTTCGTCAGTATTGATTTTACCTCAGATATGTGCTTTCTTCACATTTGGCCTCTTTGCTGTCTTTCTGCTGCCCCTCACTGTCTTGATTTAGGCAACCCCTACTCACTTTCCACCTTAACCAAGCCCCTCAGCCTTCTAACTAGTTTTCCTCTTAAGTAACTTTCCTTAAAAGTTTTCTACTCTGCCTGTCCTCTACAATTTTGCCATCTTCCTTAAAATAAATGATGTGTTATTTCCAGCTTTAAAAACTGAAGCGAACCTTCCATTGCTAAGAAAATCAAGCCCAGACTGTCCTTAGATCATAGAAGATGCATCAGTATGTGACCACCTGCAACTCACCTTTCCTTCCTAATCCCCATTACGTCTTTCCTCTTACTATCTATGTTTCAGCCATAGTGAATTTGTCAGTCCCTGAACAGGTCTTGTCCTTTGTCACTTCAGGGATGGGATGGGGTCAGGCAGACAGAAGAAATGAAAATCCAATGTGTATTTTTATATGATCACATCCCTCTTACCTTCTTGGAAACAGCTATTGTTAATCTTGTTTTACAGAAGTTTTTACTATTTATGACCGTGTGACGTTCCCAATTCCATTGAATGACATCTTTAGATGCAATAGTTTATCAACTATAGAACAGAATAATGTTGTCCAGCACTACTGGGATGTTCATGTACAAGCTTTTGTCCAAAACGGCACAGTGAGCACAAAAGGTGAGTACTTAAAGTGGATATTTCGATGCATGGGTCCTAAGTTAAGATTACAGTATACCGGGTAGCTTTAGTTGAAATTGTTATCTCAGAGCATTTGTATGTTAAGATTTACACTGGACTATAAAGTTTTTATAAATAACAGCAATTCTTATTCTTGTGGAACTTGCAGTTTTAAGTTTCTCATGTACATGTGTTGGGAGAGTCTTTTAAAATGCTCTACCTGTCGAATTTTCAGCTGATAAAACTTAATCATTGTTTGAGCAAATCCTCAAAGAACATTTGATCCTTTTTAGCTTTTGAAGATCCAAGACAAAAGCTTAGAAATTGGATTTCTGTGTTCTAATCTTGACTTTTATAAATTGATTTTATAACTTGTATATGGCTTCATGAAAATAAACAATAATTTCTCATTGAGTTCTGAAAAGCTACCAGCACTTCCTGAGAAGAGGTTGAAATGCCTGTGATTTGCTGTAAGGGTAACACAGGTAAAAGGTTTATTTGTGTTTACATCCCTCAATGATTTCTAAACTATTTTCAGGGAAACACTCTCCCTCCTTAGAGTGGTTGTATGTGGGAAAGGAGAGGGCAGGCCTAGGTAGGAGTGAAATGTTTTCAAACTTTAATCTGATTTTCACCTCAAGAGGCAGGTGATTTTTTGAGGAACAAAAGGACTCAAGGGTCTGAAAAGATGCGTGTGTGGCCGTGTGTGAGTAGGTGCAGCATTTGTACGTGTTGGGAGCCTATCAGCCGTGTCATAACTCTTCACATTGTCTACATATGAAGCAGCGGTTTGAGAACCTCTTCCCTGAATACAACCCTTTTGGTCTTCAATTTTGAGAAATATTTCGCTCTTCCCTGGCTTTATGAATTAAGAAAAAGTTTACTGTAGCTTATTTTGTTCTTTGTCTCAGAATTTCTGTGTGATAAAGATAAAACTGCAACCACAGTGGTGCCCGTCATTCCCACCACTGCGCCAGCTCCTACCACAACACCCACTCCAAAGGAAAAACCCGAGGTTGGATCCTATGCAGTGAAGAATAGCAATGGTACCTGTCTTCTGGCTACCATGGGGCTGCAACTGAACATTACTCAAGATAAGGTATAGTTGCCTATTTTTATTGATACATTCTTTTTAAAATTTTTATGTATTTATTACTTCTTTTTATTGAAGTATAGTTGATTTGCAATGTTGTGTTAGCTTCTCGTGTACAGCATAGTGATTCAGTCATACATATGTATATATACATATTCTTTTTCATTGTAGGTTATTACAAGATATTGTATATAGTTCCCTGTGGAATCAGAGATTTTAAAGAATAGATTTGATCTAAGGCTAGGAGGTAGAGTTGGAGCCCAGATATAAAATAAAGACTCATTTATTGATACATTCTTTTTATATCTCCTTTCAAATGTAGTGGGTCCAACCTTCAGCCCAAGAGTAGTGTTATTAGAATGATGCAGAATTAAATAGAGATTTGATGTTGACTTGTAGAGTTTTGATTAGTTAGGAGTTACTATAACCATGAAGAGTTAATGTTGCTATCAAGGCATTGTCTTGGCCAGCAGGAAACCTAGCAGTTTAAAGGGCTCTTGGGGGCTTAGATTCTGTCTGCCATCAGTAGATCAGAATCTAAGTGGTTGATCTTTATTTCAGTTAGTTTAAAATATAAACTTTTATCTGAACCACACTGTAGGTTGTATGGAACAGTGCCACTGTTTCTCTAGCTATTTGCTGGCTTGAATGGTATGGCTGGATAGATAGGTAATAGATGTGAGTACACGATGGCACTTCTGGTTGCAATGCTTCACTGAGACCACAGAGGTCGTGCTGACCAACCAACCTCATTTCCAGAGTCCTGCGACTTAAGCCAGACAGATGGCTTTTGTGCTCCATTAAAAATGTGTTCTTTTTTGGCTCATTATTTGAGGAAGCTTCCCTCTTGTCTTCTTTTTTTTAAAAAAAAAGTCTTCTGAGTCATAGCTTGGGGGCCTGTGCCAACTCTGAAAGTAAGACATCATACGCTTATATCCATGTCCAGACACAAGGTGTTTTGTTCACTGTGAAGTTGGTGTTATTAGAATATAAGCTTTTGCTGTAGATTTTTTAGTTCATCCGTGTCTTTCTCCCCTCTTCTCCTAAAGGTTGCTTCAGTTTTTAACATCAATCCCAATACAACAGACGTGACTGGCAGCTGCCACCCTCAAACTGCTCTACTTAGGCTGAATGGCAGCAACATCAAGTATCTTGACTTTGTCTTTGCTGTGGTGAGTAACAAATTTATCTAAAATTAGGTTCATTCTCTTAGAAACACATCTGAAAGTCTAAAAGGGTGTGTGTATTGATGGGGATATTCACCATTTTCACCATATTTTCCATTTCAACACTACTTAAAAGTGTAGTCCATTGATCCCTGTTAATCCCTCAGGGTCACCTTGATTTCTGTGGGCTGGACTTTTACATTAATGTTCACCAAAAACAGCTATTCTGCTGTTAATATAGACATTAGGGTGGGAGCAAGAATTAACCTATATCAAAAAATTGTCTAGTCTATCCATGTAGATATATGTAATAAGAAAATATATATATAAAAGATACAAAGTAATTTCCATAATATTTTCTCTATTATTGGTTAGAAAATTCTCATGTTTGTCTATTATAATATTTTAGGCTTTTGGGGAGGCTACACTGCTTGTAATAGTATCAGTCATCATGATAGTTAGCTTTCGTTGAGTACTTGCTATATGTACAGGGCTCTGGGTAAGTAAGGACTTTACAGGCTTTAAGTCAAGGCGGTATATAATGGCAGCATTCAGGTTTTTGTTGCTCATGCTTCTATTGGGGGCTGAACCCTGAATAGAAGTTTCTAGGTTAAGCACGTGGGTTCTACTTCTTACTAGCATAAATTAATCATCAGGGGCCTTTAATTCTACCTTCTCAAGAAACAATTGTTATTCCTATAATTTTTGAAGGGGGTGTGTGTGTGTGTGTGTGTGTACACGTTATAGCAAATGGGAATGGGAAAGAGGGGCTAGCCATCAATGAGGGAAAAGGGTCAACCACCAGTAGTTCTCAAACTAAGAGCTATTGTATATGTGGATAAAACAACTGTTCTGCTTTTAAATCAGATTACTCCATCTAGGGATGGGGAAACATTCTCAACATGTGATACATAAAAAGTTAGGTATGTATTTGTTTCATGTCAAAACTTGGTAAACTTGGTATCATGTTGAAACTTGGAGTCTAAAGCCTTTTTTATTTTGGAATATATGCTGACTAATTGAGGATTATATTTTAGAAAGGTTTACAAAAAACCTCCCTTTCCCAGCACTCAAATAACTCTTCTGTTATAGTATATATATGATCAGTGAATTGCTATTTTTTAAATGACCACTGAATTACTATTAAAAAAATGGTTAAGCTTGTCATCTTGAGTGTGGTAAGAGGAGGCTTCCCGTGTTATCACACACAGATTATATTATAGTCAATAAGAATGAAGAAAGTAATATTTTAGATTCATTCCCTTTTGAGTGGTTGAGTTTGATCTTTCTAGCTGAAATAGGATCCTAAAATGAACATGGTTTCTTCTGGCTCTAATGGGAAAATATGTAATATTTAATAATTATGTCACTTAATTGCCCAGCAGACAATTCTAAAATGTAATCCAGAGTAGTGACATTTTAACCATGCTACAGGCACTGTGAAAAATCAAGAAACACCTGCAATGTTACCAGAGTTAAGTGGGGCCCATCTCACCTTCAACCCTATCATGAGAGATGTGTCTAAGGATAATTTATTGAATTCGGTGTACAAATATAGGATGCTATGGTGGGATACAAAGAAGAAGGCCTGTATTCTTAAGATGCCCATAGTTTATTTAGTGGTAAAGATAGCAATATAGAAAAGATCACTGGTTCTGTGGAAGGCATTGAATGCCATGCTGGCTTTTGGATTTGATTCTGTGGGCAGTTAGAGGACTGTGGAAGGTCCATGCAAAGTGGGATGAGTGCCAGACCAGAGAATACAAAGCACTATGGGAGTGTAGAGGAAGGAACAGTTAATTCTGGCTGGAGGAGAGGCAGGAGGGTTTAACAGAAGAGATGGCATTTGAACTGGACCTTCAAGGATGGGTCAGATTTGTACACATGGGGGATAAGGAGAGTAAGTGAAAAAGTACAAGCTATCCCTGGATACACAGTCAAGACCAGGCTGGAGAATGAGACGTGTGGCACGTGTAGTGAAAGGTAAGTGTGAAAGAGTAGTTCGGACAAATTGTGGAGAGCCTTGAATGCCGAGCTGAGGAGAGATGTGTTGAGGTTGTCGAGTCCTCCTCAATGCTTTCTCCTGAAATTGTTTTTAGTCTGCCCCCTCGTTTTTATTCTCTACTGATTCCAGCCTGCATTCCCTCTTACCTGGAGGGTTCAGATAGCCTCCTAAGTAGTCCCACCTCTTCCTCCCTCCCCCCATGTGCTTCTGCGTTGGCTTACCTTCCTGCAACACAGCCCTTCCTCAGAAACCTTCAGTGATTCTGTTTTGCCCTCAAGAAAACCTACATTCCCTGGCAGGATAGATCAAGCCTGTCCCCACCTCACCCCACCCCCCATGCAACGTAACCTGCATATCCAGCTTTTTTGACTCCGTTCCCTTCTCAAGAATCTCATGCTTCCCTCACTCCGTTCCCTGTGCACATCAGCGAGGTAGGAGAGCCTAGTGGTAGCCAGTGCCTGCGCTCTGCAGCCAGACTCCTGGGTTCGGATCCCAGCTCACTGACTGCTACTAACTAGATAGCCTTGGCGAGGTTGCTTAACACCACCTCCATACTTTGATTACTGCATCTCAAAATGGGTGTTGTAATTATTCAGTGAAGCCTCATAGGTCAAGTCTTAAGGTCAGCACTTGGCACTTGGTGAGTTCTAAAATGCTAGAGTACTCGTGCTGAGGCTTAGTTTTGACTACCTTCCCTCGTGCCGTTGCCTTCTCAAACACGCCTTCCTGCTTGTCTCTTAATTGAATCTTACTCAGTGCAAATGGCCCATCCCTAAGCTTGTATTATTACTTCTGCTCCTCCCCTACTAGGAAGTAATTTCTCTCCTTTTAATTTTCGTAACTTATCCCTTTCTTTTTTTAATATAGTTCATTATATATGTATTTATCTTTTACCTGGCAGATGGCAAACACGGGGGCAGGATCCAGGCTCATTTGGCTAGCTCCCTGGAACACTTAGATATGTTACCTTGTTCATACTGAGTTCTGAAATAATTAGAACGACTAGCTGATCAGATGAGTGCTTCAGAAAGATAAGAGCAGGGAAGGAAAGATCCGAGTTGGAGAGGCTGAAAGACGTGGGGCCCCGGGAAGAGGCTGTTGTAATCCAGGCTGGAGGTTATGGAGAGGGCTCAGAAAGTGACAGGGAGAACAGAATGGAGGGAGTGAATTACTGAGGTCCTAAGGACCACATGAGTACACCTGCTCCAAAAGTTGGAAACAAAATGCAGAGCAAAAGGGTTTCTGTCGCATTTTGAGTCCCTTTCCATTGGCTGCAGTTATTCTGCTGGCCCAGGTCTAATGCATGGTTTTGCCTTCTGCGTGATAGGATTTGCCTGCTTTTCCTCTATAGATATTAACTGTACCTGTAGACAGTTGTGCTGTGTCGATTAACTGGAAGCTCTTTTTCACACAGAAAAATGAAAACCGATTCTATCTGAAGGAAGTGAGTGTCAGCATGTACTTGGTTAATGGCTCTGGTAAGCAAAACCTTCGGCTCAGGAAGAAGGGTATGGGTTACACTGAAGGAATGGCAACTGTTACTGTCTTATTACCAAATAGTACCTTATTTAATGGAACGGAAGCTTCTGTGTGAGAACTGGACTTTGACCATAACTTAAAACCAGTAACTTAGAACTATAGCATTCTATCTTTTGCAGTATCTCATATTTTCAAAGCAGGATAGATAAGAGTTAAGGATGTGACTGGGTTTTAGACTACAGAAACACCTATAGAAAGATAGGGAACCCAGTGATCTTAAGGATTGCTTTTTGGATAGGGTAGGCCCTGTACCCCAGGTTTCCATACTTCACTGAAAAATCCTGAGGACTGTCCCACTTTTATGTTGACAGGATAAGCAGTTACTAACATGTGTTTTTTTTTCTTTAAAGTTTTCAGCATTACAAATAACAACCTCAGCTACTGGGATGCCCCCCTGGGAAGCTCTTATATGTGCAACAAAGAGCAGACTGTTTCAGTGTCTGGAACATTTCAGATAAATACCTTTGATCTAAGGGTTCAACCTTTCAGTGTGATGGAAGGAAAGTATTCTACAGGTAAGAATCAAGCAAGGTTTATTAATAATTTATGTTCTTATCGTAACTGCTAGGTGGCTTTTCCTTTGAGTCATGGAAATTTAATCATCAAATTGGAGAAATATGAATTCACCTCTCGACACGGTTGTAGAGTTCTCATAGCCTTGAGCAAGTTTGTGTAACTCTATATTTGGCTCATCATTTTGCTCAGATTAGGGTTTTTTCTTTTTTTTTCTTTTTTTTTTTTTGGTTGTATCTGAAAACCTTTGCAACAAAGTTCTTAAAGCTAAAAACTGATAGGAGCTTTAAGTGATCTTGACTGAATGTACAGATGCTCCTCTGGGTTTTAGTTTGTGGGAAGGATGGCACTTCGGGGCAGCAGTTTTTGAGCATCTTGCATATGCCTTCTTGGGGCCATCTTCTGTCTGGGAACATTTTCATACCCAAATTAAAGCAGTTTGGTTGTATTTTAAGACAAAAGATTGCGGTAGGTAAGCCTCAGATATATTGATCTATGTTTTGGCCAGCCGGCATCATCTGGAGAGTTTGAAAAGCGTGTGCCAGTGTGAATGAGGTGTTTTGAAGGTCTACTCAGAGTTAATGGTGGTATTTATCAGATATTTAGTGAAACTTTTGGAAAGGGCTCATTACAGTGTATTTATATGAATATGAAAGATGCATTTGGCATTACAAGATTAAAATTTGCACAAAGAAGAAAAAGTACATAAAATTCTCTAATTGACTTTCCTTTTAAACCAATTACTTAAAATTGAGGGTTTGTGGAACACAGCTCGGCTGAGCAGAGCCGCTCCAGTTGTCCACATCCTTTTTAACAATTAATTCTATGGTTTAGAAGGAATTGTGGAAGCTGAGTTTAAAAGTGAATGTGCTGTGACCTGTTGAACTGTTTTGTGGTGGTGCTGAATACCTAGCCTGACTTGGTTTGGCGCAAGTAAATCCGGCTCTTCACCTTACCATTCTTGTGACTAGAGAGGTTAATCACAGTTTAAAAATACTTTCAAGAATTCACTCTCCCTTTTGTCAGTTTTGCTTATGGACTTCCATTATTTTGATTCTTTAGTAGTTTTATTTTTGAGTCTTTATCTAGCTCCCTTACATCATTACCCTAATTTTAGGTCCAGATTTGTGTTTAGAATTTAAAATCATTTGCAGTGTAAAATGAGCTCAAGCCTGTTTATCTAGTCAGCTGTGATAGAGATGACCTGTGTTTCTCCTCTAATTTGAAACTTTGGTGTTTATGTTCATAGTATTAAAAATGTCACCCAGAGGAGTAGACAACATTTAATACTGATAACAAATGCGTAATCTATTTGTGGAGCCAGGTTCCTGACTGTGGGTACCTATAAATACAACACACTGGTTAAACTTGACTATACAGGAAGAGGAAAGAGATTTTCAGTAAGGTCAAAGAGTGTTGATTAGATTTTACTGGATCAGACTACTCTGGAAATAGAAAAAAAAAAATCCCCTGTGGGTTGCCAGCCCTGAGCAGATTGACAAATGTAGTAAACACACTCAAATTAGTAAGGACTCCCAGTTTCTTGACTTTTGCAGCCACTAAAATCATATATATATTGGAAGTCAGGAATCTGCAAATTGTTTTTGTAAAGGCCCAGACAGCCAGTTAAGTGTGTTGAGTTTGGAGGCCATATTGTCTGTCACAGCTATTCAGCTCTGCTGTGAAAACAGCCATAGGCAATAAATATGAGTGTGGCCATGTTTCAATAAAGCTTGATTTATGGATATTGAAACTTGAATTTCATGTAATTCTTATGAGTCACAAAATCTTGTTTTTTTCTGATCATTTAAAAATGTTCAAAAGGCATTTTTAGCCCTTGGGACAGATTTGGCCCATGGGCTATATTATAGTTTGCCAACTCTGCTCTAAAGGATTCCAGAGCCAGCCTGGTTGTTTAATCCCATGATTAAACCTTCCTAATCTTCTCTCAGTTTCCCAAAAGACATTTACTCTACCACAAAGAGTCAAGTCTGCCTATGTAGAAATCTAGCTAGATTAGCTCTCTTCATTTCTGTTTAACACTCCTGTTTTGGAAAGCACTTGGATATAAACAAAGAAACAGACACACGTGTATGCGTTTTACTCGTAGATGTGAGTATGTATTCATAGATATGAATATCCCTAGACACACATACATGAATGAAAGGACATAAGTTTAGGATTTTAATTCTAGAATAATCCATAACTTGAAGTAGCTTTATCATTGAAGTATACCTGTCTTAATTACTTAAAGTTGATCTTATAAGAGCATTTCTGACTTTTTAAATCAACATTTTTTACTTGTGGACATCATTTTTTATTATACTCATTATTTGTTACACACTTTTTCTCACTTACAGCCCAAGAGTGTTCGCTGGATGATGACACCATTCTAATACCAATTATAGTTGGTGCTGGCCTTTCAGGCTTGATTATCGTTATAGTGATTGCTTACCTAATTGGCAGAAGAAAAAGTTATGCTGGATATCAGACTCTGTAACACTAATCCACACGTGACTCTGTTATAAAACAATGAAGCAAGTACAAGTTCCAACATGCAATACTGTTCAATCTAAGGTGTATTTAGTTGCAGTTCTGATCTTAGAACAGATAGTATGGAGGATTTCAAACTTAGATAGATGGAAATACCCCAAACCGATAAAATCCATATTAGTCACATGATCTTGGTTTTCCCAATGAAGGAATTTAAAACTTATTTCTGTAGCAAAAAATATGTGCAAAAATCACGTGGCTTATAAATTCTATTTTATTCTGAATTAGTATTTCAGTCTTTTCATTTTAGATATTCTAACTAGAAAGACACAGTTTAGGAAAAAGTTTTTAAAAAGAGATCCCTGTCCTCCCTTCATGTAGTTGAATTGAGACAACACATTCTGCAGTGGATTTGTACTTGCTCCTTTTGCATTTTTTGGTGATTTTGTTTGCAGGTTAACTTAGCTGCTTTGGCTTTGCTGCATATTTGACTATGAGAGATTATACCAGTAGATTTGAACAGGGTCTAGTATTTTTCTGTTCTTAGCAATGAATGCTTTCCTACTGCCTTTTGAATAGATTTGTATTTAATGTGGCTGTAGTGACAAAAGATACAAGAGCTTTTTAAATTTTAGAATAGATGCTAATCTTATTGTTTAATCCTTTTCATAAAAAAACTGGATGTTTCAGTCTTTCAAATTGTAAGACACAAGACTATTCCAACTGGGCATTTCAATGCATTTTCTCTAGATGCTTTAGAGATAATTGCTAGGCAGTGCCAATTTAGGGCATTAGTCTTTTGTACCCATAAATTGGCCTCTACATGCAGTGCTAAAACTAATGTAGATTTCTTTTTAGCCCTTCTAGTATCCTTGTTGGTGGTAGATTGTTTTATTCTTTTCTTTTTGTTTCCTTAAAGAAGAAATGCCAGTATGTCCTAGAACCTAAATACGGAAGTGCACTTACACTTAGAAAGTAACTTGCACCTAACCCGAAAGTCTTGGTCTTCTCTTAGTTCATTAGGAACCTGTTCTGTGTTTCTAGCTTGCATTGATTGCTACAACATTTACTAATTTGGCGTTTACACCTACATAGTTCTATACTAATCAAAACTTACATTATTATTGTTCATTATGGTAGAATCATTAATTCATGTACTTTGTGTTCACTTTTATGCTCTGGGGAGATGCGCCAATTGTCCATTTACTCTGCACCACCTGATGTTTATATGAGAAAGCAAAACATTTCAGCTTGATGGCTAACACATCAAGTATTTCTTGCTGCTTCTAGGAGATTTGTTTTTTGCGGCTTTTTGGTATTAGGATGGCTGAGCAAGTATTAAAACATCGTTAATATGCAGCCATATATGGAAGGTTCCATGTTTTGGAGGGTGGGAGATTATGTCTCCCCCCATTTACTAGAAAATGAGATATCTGGATTCCAAAATATTATTTATGTTGAATTAATTTGGTAATCTAGCAATACAGACACACACAGAGGCAACTGCATGTTAGCATGTGTACGTCTATAACTATCTTTCGAGTTATATTGGCATGATAAATGTTTTCTTCCACTTAAATTTGCTCTCTGTTTAGAGTAGCCTGAAAATAGTCCTGGCTCAGAATCGGACTTCTGACTAGCCCCTCTCTTAAAGCTACATTTAGCTGCACTGCCAGCTTAAGGCACTTTTTAAAGGCTAAGTAGAAATCTGATTTTTAAAAATTATTTTTTATTTAAATAGTATTTTAGTGTAAGATTGTTAACCTTATAAGAAAGGATAATGCTTACAAGAATATGAGCCCTAGATATTTCTCATGAGTCAAAACAAAGCAGCAGCTTTTTTAAAAAAATAAAAATTGGAAGCACAAGTGGGTGGCACTGGCTTAACGCTGTTAATGTTTCTAAAAGTTTCTACATTTAGATTATATATCTGATTCAAATTAAAATACCTCTAATTAGCACTGTTTTATAGAAAATCTGACTTCATTGAATATTTTTGTATTTTACATGGGCCAGTTTACATACTGTCATTTACACTGTTATTTCCTATAGCCATGTGTTCTTTGTACCTTTTGTAGTTTTATTTGTTTTATTGGGTTTACACCTCAATGGTCTAACACTCTATTTGGTTCTGGGTGTTTTTCATGTGTTAGCATTTGTATAAAGAAACTGGTCCATGTAAATACTTCTCATGTTTTTTTCTGCAAATGTTTAAACCACTAGTTGATGTATGGTATTTCTCTTTAGATATTTGCCTGTCCATTTGCTCAAAATATTGCTTCTAAAACAATAAAGTTTCTTTTATTTCTTAAGAAAATTTGCTCACATTTTTTTCCAGTTGGTTAAAGTCTAGATTTTATATACTATATAATGGCAATTTCTTCCAAAAGGAAAAACTTAAGAAATGCTTAGAAGTAGAACTAAATTATTTCCAGAATGATCCATGTATTACTGTGTGGAAGAGTGGTCCCATAGATCGGTCCCTTTTGATGCTGGGGTGGCTATAGAGTAAGAAACACAGGAAGCTAGTTACAAAAATTCAAATTTCAAGCTCCATTCCTAGAGGATTTAGTTTAGCAGGTCTGGAATGAGATTGTGTATGTGTGTGTGTGTGAGTGTGTAAGCTTCCCAGGTGAATCTGATGTGTAGCTAATTAGGAAACCAGTGATCTAGAATATTTATTTCATAGTAAAAGCGGCAGAGTATCTCTATACACTTTTCTCAACTCCTAAGCTGAGGCTGATACTGAATATCTGTATGTAGCAGCTGTACATTGCAGCCACACAAACCGAGCTCTTGATCTGAACCAAAATAGGATTGTGTGTAATCTTTCTCTCAGATCACCCTAAAATGCTTTTGAACCTTCCAATTTCCAGATAGCTTCCCAACCCACTTTCATATATCACACACAAAAAATCTTAGCAGCCTGGCTAGTAACTTTCCTCTGGATGACCCAGTTAAGCCATGTGACTGCCAGTTAATCATCATAGCTCCCAGCTCTACCGGCTGAGTTGCCATGTGACCTTGTTCAAGCCACTCAACTTCAGAGGTCTCAGTTTTTTCATCTGGGGACTGAGGACTTTAAAGTCCTGTTACTCTTACTTCTTTGAATGATAGGTTGTTTTGTTTTGTTTTGTTTTTGAAGTATAGTCAGTTTACAATGTTGTGTCAATTTCTGGTGTACAGCACAATTCTTCAGCCATATACGAATATACATACATTCATTTTCATAATCTTTTTCACCGTGAGCTACTACAAGATAGTGAGTATGTTTCCCTGTGCTATACAGTTTAAACTTGTTTATTTTATATATACCAGTCAGTATTGAGTGATAGTTTTCATTTCAATGATGATAAATCTAGAAAGAATCTGGTAAGAAGCCACTTGTTAGGTATCAAGAACATATTTACATACAGTGTAAAGCACACCATCTGAAGTTTCTTGCAGTTTTTAGGAGGAATTCTTGTAAGACTCAGCTATTTTTAAGATTATAGCATTTTATCTGTTTAGTTGGGTAGACAGTGTTACATTGTCTTGGGCTCATTTCTCTCACTACCTGTCTCCTGAGCTTTTATCATGGTAGCTAACTTTCTGCATCATTAATTGCCATATCTTGTTTTTGAAACTAGTGTAGACATGTTTGAAGCTAGTACAGAATAGCTTCAAGTATCTTTTAAGAGTTATGTAATGTACTTCAGTTTGACTATAGATAAAAGGTGTTTAATAAAATGCCACATAAGAATGTGCTTCTTAATACTGATTCTTCCAAAGAGAAATTTAGATACACTGGTTTTAAGGAAGGGTTTCCTTTATATTTTATAAATGTGTATCTTAGCTTTCCAATTCTCACACTGAAAATCATATTTGAAAAGTTTCTGAACTAACAGAAAATTGAAGATTAACAGAATTTTAAAAATCTACATGAACCTTTTCATTGAAATTTCAGTGGCTGTGAAACTTTATCTTTTAAAAATGTCACTGTTTCTGTGACTATTAAACTCTTCTACAAATAGACTTCATTATGGTCTCAAGTGTACATTAGGCAAATAGGTCAAAATGACTTACAGAATGAGGTTTTCTTTCAGGATGTGATCCTATTCAAATTATTGTTTTACCCAAATTTCCATTACCTAAAGAATTTTTAAAGGTTAATAAATTAATAAAATCAATAGTTGTTATAAATTAATACTTCAGATGCTAATTGAGAGCATTTTAAGTAAGTGACAGAATCTAGAAAGATCTTTGTATTAGCAGAATTGCCTTTTTGATCTACTCTGGTAATATTTGTCTTGCACAAAAGCCTTATTGGCAGTATTCATGAGAGTCATTTCAGTACTAGGTCAAAAACCCAATTTGAGAAAGAGAGGACTTTGAATTCATTGCCAGAATAAGAAATTAATCTACTAATGAATTTTTAAAAAACCAAGTTATATTAAATCCAAGGCATAATACTTTATGGTTCATGTCACCTGATAGTTTATATGCTGGGTGGTAATTTGGGAAGTTGAAGGGGAGAAGCTACCTGGGTGCTCTTAACACCGTATATTCACAAGTCACATCTGGCAACCTCAGCTATCTGGATTTTTAACAGAACCAAGAAGCAAGTAAAAAAGACCATTGAGATGGCAGCCAGAGTCAATGTCTCATAAAATACATAAACTCCAGGGTTGCATCTTGTTCCCCGTTATTGCCTCAGAGGCTAGCAAAAGACTGGCACGTTTCTTACATGCAAGCACAATCAGATTTGCCTTGCAGCTATTCATTTTAATTTTCGGCAAATTCTGATAAGCTTAATTATCTGATTTATCAGTCCCTGGTAAATTGAAAGCCAGGAGAAGCAATAAGAGGCAAGGAAATGGAAAATAGTGAGAAGTGATGGTTCAACACCCTCGCTGCCTTCTTCCCCCTCTGCAAACGTATCTCCATCTGCACTATTCCTTTCTTCTCCAGTCTCAGTAGGTTTTCTTTTCCTGGCCAGTGCTTCTGGAATCCCATTTCTCCTACCTCCTAGGAGACTGTACCATTCAGCATCTTCAGCCTATAAAATGCTCCTGCTCTTTTCCCTCATCCTTTTCCACCTGAAGATAGTCTTTCTTGACAGTACATCCCACTTCTAACTATCTACCGTTTGTCCTTCTAAACTGTTCCCCATTCCAAGTTCTTGAGCTCCTAACCAGTCACTTCCCATTCACTCCTAAACCTGTAGCAATTTGACTCCCAGCTCCCCACCCTCCATATTGCTAGATCCAATGGACATTTCTCTGGTGTCTCTAATGTTTAGCACTATTCTCCCACGCTAATTGAAACTGTTTCCTTCCTTGGCTTCTGTGGCACTATTTTCTACCTGCCTTTCCTAATTTTTTTCCTTCCTTTATTCTTCAAATATTGGTATTCCCAAGGGTTTTGTCTCTGGGCCTCTTACTATTCCATCTGCCCTTGCTGAGAAATATCTTTGTTCTGGTTTGAAATATCACTTATGTACATCAACTACTTGGTTGGGACAGAGGTATCTTAAACTCAGCAGATCTAAAACTGCATGTCTTCCTCTTCCACATATCCCTCTCCACCCTCCCCCGACACAAAAAATTTTTAAATTAAATTGAAAAGAACTAACCCATACAAACAAAAGTAACTACAAACCTGAAATGTGTGCATTCCTCCTGTGTTCCCTATCACGAATGGCACCAGCATCTATATGACCACTCAAGCATGGGATTGGAGGCCATTCTATTATCTCCTCCTACCACACCCCCTACATCCATTTGGTCAATTCTGTCTTCTAATTGGATCTCTAGTCAGTCCCTTCTGCGTCTGCACTTCATTAATCTAGTTCAGGACCATATTACTGGTCATCTGGCTTCTAGCAATAGAGGCGCTTCCTAACTTAATACCTCCAATCTTCCATCTGCCATAACTTCTGACAAAAATACCCTGCTTAAAATTCTGTCGCTTTTTTTTTTGCCATCAGTATAACACCAAACTACCTTGAGCATACAATGCCTTTGTGAGCTGATCCTAGTACCCGTTTCCTGCCTCTTTTCCAATAGTACCTTTTGATCCATTGTTTTAGCTATGACAACCTGCTTGCGTTTCCCCCGAAGTGCTATGTTTTCTGACCCTCCATATTTTTGTCTGTGCTGTTTTCTATACCTGGAAGCCCATTTCCTGCATGATTAATTTGGTTAATTCCTATTCATTCTTAAAAACTCAGCTCCAGTGGCACCTCTTTCAAACTACGTCTTGTGTAACAAGGCTGAGTTGTGTGCCTCTGAAATACTACCATGACACTGTGTGTTGCCTTCCCCCATTATAGCACATTTTGAAATTAAAACCGCTGATTTCTTGTCTGATTCTTACACTAGACTGAACAGCTTAAGGCAAACAGTTATGCAATCAGGGCCAGTTTGTATCTTTTCCTACTATTAAATGACCCCCATATTGCTGTGCATTGAGTTCTTATATCTGCTTTGTATGGTTGTTCATTAATGCTTCACAGTCTGCAGTGTTCCAGGCACTGTGCTGCTTCCACATCTTTACCCTTTGCCTCTGAAAGCTCACAGCTTGATCATCAAGGAAAGTCTAATTGTATTTCTCCATTATCTTCTGTTTAAGAAATCGGAGAAGTATGCGATCACTATATATCTTTCATCCAAAACGACTGCATTTGGTGGGGGTACTTTAAAGTGCATGATTTGGTTGTTTGGAAAGTCACTTCTGTGGACCATCTCATTTGCTGGTATCAATGCCAGTGATTTGTTGCCTTGGTATAAAAAAACAAAATATATGTCTTGGGAAGTACTATCATTTTAACTTAAAATGTACAGATTTGACATTTTGTCACTGTTTCTGTTCTCAATTGTCCTTTCTCCACATCTAGCTCAAGACTGCAGTGCAGATGACGACAACTTCCTTGTGCCCATAGCTGTGGGAGCAGCCTTGGCAGGAGTGCTTATTCTAGTGTTGCTGGCTTACTTTATTGGTCTCAAGCGCCATCATGCTGGATATGAGCAGTTTTAGAACCTGCAATCTGATTGATTATATAAAAATACATGCACATAACAAGATTTTCTTGCCTTTCAGTTTTGAAACACTTTGTTCTTTAAGATGGATATATTGAAACATTAATTCAAATCAGTCCCAGCATTTTGGGATAATTCTTCATTAATAAAAACTGTCAATAGAACAGCTTAAAATTTTAAAAAATGTTGTGTTTACTGGTCCTGAAGACAAACTTGTTAAAAAGAACATCGGTGTGCAATGTTTTAAGATCTGTCATAAGAAGCCTTGGCCAAATTTTGATTCTAACCTAAGATACCTTAAACTTATTAACATGGCCATTATGAGGATAAAATATGTAGTTGTCTCTTAATGGAATTAATAAATATTGTTTCACTACCGGTGTTCTGTTTCAATGTATAAGAACTATCCTGATTTAAACTCATCATAGTGCCTTTGCATCTAGTTCATTAAATAAATATTGATGTGGTCTAAATGCCCATCAGCTATGCTTAAACTTGGTTTTTAGTTGAATGTCCTCAGGACCATCAGCATTTTTTAGCTTACGTGACTTTGGCTGATTTCTCAAGTTACAAATAAATTCAGTATCTTAGGCTTGTGATTTTTCCCTAGGTAAAAAACAGACCCAAGAGGCCACAACAGAACTTAAACTGGCTTCAGTTTTAAAAAGTATTTCTTTTTCAGCAAAAGACTGAAAAGGTTCAAGCATGTTTAACCATTTGCCTTTTTTTTTCCCTTATGTTTTTCTCTTCCTTGGATGCCTGATTAGCATTGAAAGATAGAAATATTCTATGAACTAATTAGGAGAGATTGTGTTGTGTTTCTCTACCTCGTATTGTTGATCTCTAGAGCATTAAAATCTATTTAGTGTTGTCATCAGACTAGTACTTATGAAATGTAAGCTAACAGCAATCTCAGAAGGGAGGCAGTGAAGCGTAGCAACTAGGCTCTTGCTTTTGCCAGGATGGCCCCTGTGGGGCAGAGCATAGATGGGGGTGTAGAGAGAAGCTGTTGGCATTAAAATGAACTTGATAATCAGCCCCTATTGAAGCATGCTCCGTGTTAAAAGTGCAGCACAGATGTTGACTATAGAGACAAATAAGAAGGAAGCTTAATCAATAGACTTAAGGAGACTTTCACATTGAAGTGATTATTTTATTAATTCATTCTATGTATATATTGGCTTGTTCAGAGTTTCTGTAACTCACTGATTACAGTATTTTGGTACCCAGATGTCAGTCTCTGAAAGCTTTCAGTAAAACAGTAAATATTTCAATAAAAGCTAATGTCATTACTGAAATTCATGATGTATACTCAGAACCTTAGCAACTTTTTTTTAATGAATGACAAAATTGCAAGAGGAGGAAAAAATAAAATTAGAGTAAAAAATGCAAGTTATTATTCAATCATAAATCACACCAAACATCACATTTTGTTAATTGCATTAGACTTATGCTGGAAAGGAGCTTAAAGATTATTTACTCTAACCCCATAATTTTTACAGAAAGAAGAGTGACTTCACTGCGGTTACATATCTAGTGGGCAACAAAACCATTATTAGCATTTTGATAAAAATTGTCCCAATGAAACCTAGTCACTCAGTAGTAAAACTAGTTTAAGCTTGAAACTGTGAGGTCGGAATTGGGCACTTTGAGTTCCTGCACTAAGTACTACTTCAATAAATGACACATCATACCAACTTTGTTTGCTTAAGTATTTTTAAAAGTACTGAATATTGGCTTTTTCAGTGGCTCCTATTTTGATCTGTTTGCTACTTCAAAACCTGAACCTTGGATGGGATCAAAAACATGGGAGATATGCATCACATACGTTAGAAATAAAGTTGTTTTGAATCCTCAGATATCTTATAATATAGGTATTATTATCCCCCTTTTACAGATGAGGAAAATGAAGCCCAGTTAATACCTTGACCAAGGCCCATTAGCTAGTAATTGAAAGAGTCAAGATTCAAATTCAGTTCTGTCTGAATCCAGAGCTCAAAATCGACATTGCACGTGCACACCGCCTTCCTGGTGGTCCAGTGGAGTGGACTGCAATGTCCACTGAACTTTGCTATTATCTGCCCAGGCCACTATTCAGCTGAAAAGAATTATATATAACCTGATAGCTACCTAATACTTGTGTGGAAAAATTATACTGCATTTTCTTGATCCTAAATCCTTTTTAACTTAAATTTTATTTTTATTACCCATACAGAATTATTTATATTTTCATGATGGTCGTGGCAGGGGAGAAAGGGAATGGGGAAATATGCAGGCAGTGGTTTTTAAGTGAAGATGTTAGCCTTTTCCCCCTGGTGCCATTAGACAATTCACCATAAAATCTTCCCATATTAGGCAAGCACAATTCTGTTTTGGACCCTTTCCCATTCTTCCCTTACCTTCTGCTTTTTATACTAAGGAATTAGGTGTGATTTGAGATGAAGTGACAGATACAGGCAGATCAGTTGCTTGGAAATATTTGGGTGGATATAGTGAAAATAAGAAAATAGGGGGTAATGCTCTGAAAGACTAACCTATGTACACTCTCAAAATGCTTGTTCCTTGTTTGTTTGTTTCTGCTTAATTGCATTCCTTACTAATTTCCTTTCCTTGCTTTCTGTCTCTTTTCTAACAGCTGAAGAATGTTCTGCTGACTCTGACCTCAACTTTCTTATTCCTGTTGCAGTGGGTGTAGCCTTGGGCTTCCTTATAATTGTTGTCTTTATCTCTTATATGATTGGAAGAAGGAAAAGTCGTACTGGTTATCAGTCTGTGTAATCAATTAAATCTAGTGCTTTTTTTTTTTTTGGCCATCAAGTTACGTTTCAATTGGCTAAAAGCCAGGAAATGCTGTGCAATCGATTGTTTAAGATACACAGATTAACCTAAGTGAGTTGCTAGCTAGCTTGGGCATGAGTAGCACTCTTTAAGAAAAAAAAATGTATTAGGACCAATTTCTTCCTTTTTTTTTTCCTATTTTCTCTTCCTTTGTAAAAGTGTAATTGAAAGAAAAATTGTGGCTTAGAATATGGTTTTTAGTAAATAATGATTTTAAGCCTCTGGATGCAATTATGAAAGCATTTCTACTGAAGTATGATTTTATATGTTGCAGTTTCTTGTATTTTGCTTCTTTGACATTATTTGCAAAATCAAAGCTGTTAGAGAATTTACCTTGCTTCAGGAAATAAGTTCAGGAACACAGTGAATTCATTTTCATTGGTGGCAACCATAAAATTTGGTTTGTGATAATATGACTCAGTTTCTCCATCGCCTAATCAAGGTGATTTAAATCTGTTTTTCTGCTAGTTAAAAAAAAGAAAAGAAAGGGCTTCATAGTACTGTGTTTAATAGCAAAAGTCTGGTTATTTTCATTACAGTTAGTAGCTACTACATTTTAACAATGATGCTTTTTGTGGGGGGACCTACTGGAGTTTGGAATATATCGATTATCACAGATTTGCCATTTATGCTAAGATCTTCAGCTTTTTTTTAAGGTGTTGACATAGAATGGGTTATGGTCTTTTAGAGTTATGATTTAGAGTTTTTTTTTTCTTAGAGCCTTAACTTGTTCAGAAAGTTAATTCATCCTCCAGTAAAACAAAACGAAGTGTCTCTGTTTTGTGTGCCTCTTGCACTCTCTCATCCCCTGTATGAATAAGTTTTGACTGATATTTTTAATGTATTGGTTTCTTTTTTTTTTCTTGCAGCAGCCAAGTGCTAACTCTAGAGGCTAGTGGGCCCTGAAGTGTCATCATGAGATGACTGCCTGGCCAAAGCTGGACCAGGATTATTCTGTAATTTGTTGATCTTGATACAGCTTTCTATCCCTAAAGGGACCTCTAATGGCTCTGGCTGCTGGAGTAAGGTACTAGAGACCACTCATCCCAGTGTCTGCTTGATTGGCTAGGCTAGTGAATTGTCTTTTGATTTGGAAGCACAGCGTTGTATTTCTGTAGTGTCCAAATGGTTGCTTTGCACACTTGTTATTAGCATAAGGCAGATGTTTGTTTTATCGAGCTGTTTTATCTCTATATAACTAAAAAACAACAGTTTCCAAAGACCTGCCTTCACTTTTAAAATGTTCCTTGGATTAAAAAATTAAGCTTAAATCTTAAGTTAGTTATTAAATCCAAGGATTTGGTTCCCATCTACCTCTCAGCAAAATTCAGATGCTCACCACTGTATTGCTGCCATTAACTGATGCCAAAATTCTTTGGCAATAATTGGAATTGGAAAATTTTGTTTAAAAAAAAAGAAAATTCATCAACATCTTTCTTTACTGTCTTCATATGTGCATCTCAAAAGCATATATTCCAAACTGGAGTAGGAAGTCAGATTGCTCAATGATGTTTCCCTTAGAACTCTGACTTGCAGACTCAAGCTCTTCTCTATTTGCTAAGTATATAAAGAATATTTTCTTTTAAAATGTTCTCCTTTGAAAACAATTGCTTATTTGTTATTTTGTCAAAAGATGGCACCATAAAGAACAGTGGCTTCGTTTCAATAAATATTTTTGAGATGATTGTCTAAAAGCCCGATTATTTAAATCAGCTTGTGACCTTGCTAGGTATGTGGATTGGAAAGTTCATATACATTCAGAATTATGGTTTCATTTAAAAGTTTTTTCTACCTTTTGGGTAGGAGACTAGTATAAGTAATTCTTCATTAGGTATCATGATTTTTATCTTAGATAATTAGCAAATGTGTGTTTAACTCTTCTTTGAGAATTAAGATGAAAAACACAAAATATTAACAGAAGGTTAAAACAAAAGTTGCTTCAACTCCAATAAAATAGGAATCCCAAAATCTACGAACTGAGTGTTCAGTTAGCTTTGCTCACTGAGTTCATTTTTATGTCAGTACAACAATGGATCAGATAGTAGGACTTTGAACTCATGAATATAAAGAATTGTTTTTCACCCAAGCTTCTTTGGAAGGACTGATGCTTGCTGCTACCTAAAGTTTTGGATGTATCAATATAGTGAACTAATTAATACCTGCTAAATAAAGCATACTGTGGTACTCCTGTTTGATCTGATATGTGTGATTTTTAGATTGATGGATTAAAATATAATAAAGATATAATCTATATCACTATGGATAACTTTATTTTTATTCCATGTTCTTAGTATTAAGAGCTTGGATTAATTTGTATCATCTAAGTTCCTCAAGTTCTTGTTTCTTGAATTGTCAGTAGGACTCATGTGATCTCTTAGGTCTGCAAATTACCAAGTGCCATCATTAAGAAGACATTAGAACCTTTAGTGCAGACACTTCAAATGTGGGGGCCTATGTGGTCATGAAAATTCCAAGAAAACATTGGAAGTAAAATATGGAAATCTAACAAATGTAAGAGTTTCATAATAAATGTACTTTTAGCATATGTCTGCATTGATAAACTACTCACTGTTGAAATTCATTCCATTTGGAGCAAGATAGACCTCAGGGATATGGGAGGGGCACAGGAAGAGCTATCCATTTTCTGAAAATTCCTTTAAATTCCTTATAATCCAGTCTAATGCTCAAATGTTATATGCTTGGATTAAATGATGACATTCTTTTTTACATGAGGCATTTTTGGTGGGAGAAGGAAGTAAACTTTGGATCTCTCCATAGTTCCTGAGTAACAGAGTTTCATTTTCTGATTGTTAAATGTTTAATGGCTTTTAATTCAGTCAAAAAATGGCCTTACCTTGCATTTGTGGGACTAGGGAGGGAATTCTCAATAGAACCTGTCTTTCTTGTCTCAGCTTCTTCGCTGAATATATTTCACAACTGCACCTCACAGGGCCTCTGAAAGAAGCACTGTAAGATTTAAGCAAGAAGAGTGATTCTACGCATGTTGCCATGTATCTAAAAAGTCAAGTTGGACATCCATCTTTAACAGTTCAGTGTGTATACTGTGAATGCTACAACTGCTTTTAGCATTCTAAGGAAACTTGCTTTCTCTTTGCTCTTGATGTCTATGTATTTTGATGGCAGGGTAAATTTGAGTCCCTTTATTTCAAGAGATAATAAACAGGAGAAATCCTGGTACACAACACATTTTTAGTAGGAAAAGGCAGCGGTAGTTTTATTGAGCAGTTACAGTGCTGTGCACTTTACACACATTTCATTTAACCCTCACAGCAACTCAGGTTGGGTGGTATCATTTGCAATTTACAGAGGAGGTAACAGGCTTGAGTTGGTTACTTAACCAAAGTCCCACAAAGAGTAAGTGACAAGACTGACATTTGAGCCCAGCTCTGTCTGCCTTCAAAGAACATTGCTCTTAGCCACTGTGCATCCTGGCTTCTAGGAAACCATAGATTTTTTTAATTTTATTTTTTATTGATTTACAATGTTAGTTTCAGGTATGTAGCAAAGCAATTCAGTTATACATACACATACATATATATACATATATTTTCAGATTCTTTTCCATTATAGCTTATTATAAGAAATTGAGTATAGTTCCCTGTGCTATAGAGTAGGTCCTCGCACCATGGATGAACTTAGAGATTATCATATTAAGTGAAGTAAGTCAGACAAAGAGAAATATATGATATCACATGTGGAATCTGAAAAAAGATTTTTTAAAAACCTTATGGCTTGCATTAAATGATGACAGAAGCCTGACTTCTGTACTCTTCTGTCCTGCACGTAGTCTCCCTATGCATGTTCTTCAGTATTCTTAAAATAACCTGAATTTTGTCCAGCCTGCTCGAGGGGAAGACGGAGGTTGTGCCTTCTGAAAGACCAAACCAAGGCTGGTTTGTGCTACACGCCATCAGTAATGTTAAGCCCTGAATGTCACTTTTTTGCGGAGTAGGCTCATCCAGTTATTCTGATCACGTATCATTATCATTCTGCCCTCAAACTGTTCTGCACCATGAATCATTTGGACTGTGCATTAGTGTGTTTAAGAGACTAAATGGAACTGCCTCTCTCCTTACTTTGCCTAAATTAATGCCATGCCAACCCCCACGCCGTGTCCCAGCTTTAAGTGCAGTGTACCCATGACACTCAGCAGTCCTTGCTAGATACCTCTGAGCCCCAATGCACAGTTCCTACTCTTACATCTAGAGCCTTTTTCACAGGGGTTCAAGAAACCGTTATCTACATACTTAGAAGTTTCCAGCCATAATCTGCGACATCCCCTCTCCCACGTCCTCTGTTCTGTACTCACTCCACTGCTGCCATACTGGCCCTCTTGCTACTCCTCAAAGACCCTAAGGGTGCCTTCACTTCAAGGTCCTTACACTTGCTCTGCCTTCTCCCTGGAAATATCTTCCCCCAGCTGTCCTCATGGCTCACCCTCTCGTCCCATTCAGGTCTCTTCACATCACCTGGTCCATGAAGCATTGCCTGACCATTCAATCTAATATAGCCCTCCCTGCCCCCACCACGTCCCACTCCCCTTGCTCTGTTTCACTTATTACTTACTACCTACTGCCATCTGACATGATATATTTTATTTGTTAATCTGTATTTCACGCGTGTCTCCCACTAGGAGGTAAACTTCATGAGAGCAGGAATTTGTGCTGTGTTTACTACTCTCTCCCAGTCCCTAGAACAGTGCCTGACACAGTTCACACTGAATAAGCATTTACTGATGGATGAGTGGTCATCTTGTGTAATAGCTAAACACTTATTAGGCACTTAATATCTTATTTCATCAAATCTAAGATGTCATCAGTTGTAAGACAAATACTGCCAATTAAACTGTAAGAGGCCAACTGGTTTCAAAAATGTGAAAAAAAATGTACATCTTAGAGTCACTACGTCCCAGGCACTATGGAGAGTTGTGCATGAATTATAACACCTACCATTAATCCATTGAATGCATCTGGGATTCAGACCCAAGCAGTCCGAGTCAATGCCTTTAAGCACTCTGCCATTACAACCTCCCTTTAGTGTGACATACTGCTTCTTGTGTCATCTTCAGTTCCAAAAACAGAAGTCTGTATCTGTGGTTGCTATGATTTTCAATTTTAAAGGAGACAGAATATTTAATATTCATGTTTCCTTCTTTTAAATGCTACACAGTATAGCATGGCAAGTATATCAGAGCAGAATTTGAATCCTGGCTCTTAACCACACAGTAGCGGTGTGACCTTGGACAAGTTACTTAGCCTCTCTAAGCCTTCTCTGTAAGATGTAGATGGTACTACTACCTATCTTGTAGGGTTTTAAAGGGAGTTAAATAAGATAATGCCACCAGATATGTGTAGAAAGCAATAAACATGAGCTTTTTAAAAAATGATAGATTGGGACCTTCTTGCTAAAGATGATAGATGTCAAATGTTTAGACACGATCACAGAAGGAGCAAGTGAAGCGGGAGAATAGGGCTGAGATAAAGCCTTAAGGAACAGAAATCCACTCAAACTAGGTTTAAAAAGAGGAAAGAATTATGAAGTGATTGGGTAAGTCTCACAGAATCCAATTGAAGGGAGTACATTTGGTACTCAAAGGAATAGAGTTAAATTATAAAGCTTCAGCTGAGAATAATGGTGATGACTACCAAGAAAGTTTAGAAAAAAGTGAATAATGAGTGTACTGCATTTATTAAAATGTGTTATAAAGCTAGGATCAAATGTTAGATGGGTATAATAATAGAGCAACAATTTAATGGACAATACACACACAGACACACACAGTGTGTATTTAGTATTTGATAAAGATGCTCTTTTCAGATCAACGGGGAAAGAATGGAATGTTGAAAAATGGTGCTGAGATACTAGATTATTTTGGGAAAAAATACATTGAGACCTACCTCACAAAAAGTACCAAAATAAATTCAAGGATGATTAAAGAGTTAAATTTTAAAAAAACTATAAAAGATACAGAATCAAATATAGATTGGCTGTATTTTACCTCAAAATAAAGGCCTTCCTAAGAAGAAAAGAAAAAAAAGTGACTGGAAAAGATTTCAATGTATAAAAATTTAATCTGACCATCAAAAGGCCACCAGACACAAATTTAAATATAAATACAAACAAGGGAAAATACTTACAAAGGGTTAGGTTAATATCCTTACTATCAAATAAATACAGAACAAGATAAGATGAATAGTCCATGAGTATACTCGAATAGGGACATGAATAACTAAATCATGACAGAAGAAATACAAATGGATAAGTAATTTGAAAAAATATTCCATCTTCCTTATAAGCAAAGAAATGTAAGTCAAAACAAGACATCTTTCAAACTGGTTAAGATGTTTTTAATGATGATATTTACTCTTGGGCATGGTAGAGAAAAGTGCACACTAACATGGCGTTGGAAGTGAAAATGAAAATTTGGAAACTGAATGCCAAATAAGATGGAACTGGTTAAGTAAGTTGAAACACTGACATGAGAGCATGTTCCATGACTATTTAAAATCACATTCTCAAATAATACAAATATGAGACAACATTCATGTCTTACTGTTAAGTGGAAAACAAATGTTGGAAAGAAATATGCACCATTACTCTGTTTTGGTAAATAAATCTATATACATCTGTAACTGCTCTGCCACCCAAGAGGTGCTTCTCCCGATCCCTACATTTCTCCGATGCTGGGTGCAGAGCCCACCACAGATGAGATCCAGATTGGAGCCACTACTTCTACAGTTCAAGAGGCTACAAAAAGGTATGTACCATATCGTGTCTTCATATGTATGTATGTGTGTATACATATACATAGATGTGTGTATAAAGTAAATAAAAGCTAAACAGCAGTCACCTCCAGGTTTTGGGATTGTGCTTGGCTTTAATTGCCTTTCCTACTTCTGTTTTGGTGAATCCAGTTTACTTTGATCATCAGAAAGGGCCTCAGGAAAATGATTTCTCAAGGGAGTGGGTTTTGAGTCTCCTTGGTTCTCTCTTGCATTCTGCTCATAAATAAAAGTTGGCTCTGTGAGACAGCAAAGCATCCACTCCTACCAGGTATCAGGGCTCTCCCCTCATTTGAAACTTGTTTTTATCAAAGAAAACTTTGTTTTATTTGACATTGCTCATTAGTCCGGAGAGCTTGCCTTTACCATGCATCATGCACATCTCACTCGCCAAGGATACAGAGGCACATCTGTCATCGGTCTTTTGTTGCCTCCTGTGACACCTGAGAGGTG